ATTTAAATCAATGTACCTTGAGAAGAAAAATAATAATAGAATGACAATTCTTGGTTGAACTTATATTTCAGCTAATTAGCCATCTCAAGTTTTCAATCATTAAGATACATTGATTTTTATTGTCCATGACGATGAAGACGATGAGAAGGAAAGAATTTTCTAAAATTTCTCACAAACTTCTATGATGGTCAAGTTCTAATAATATGTATGACTTTTGTGTCTGTCTTCAAATTATGCAGACGATGGAGGAAAAAAGAATATGATTGTGATAATATCGGCTATTGTGGCGGGGTTTATCTGCCTAGGCATCTTTGTATGGCTGGTGTGGAGATTCAAGGGAAAACTTAAAGGTGAAATATTCATAATTCATCTCCCCAGACTATTTTTTTTTATCAGATATTTGACCGCAAAGTTGTCCAATGCAATTTTTGGTATTGACTTGTGTGTATTTCCTCATTTTCTTTCTAGTTCTGCCTTCAGTTTCCCCAGCTTCTTGTTGCAAGAATAGTGATGTACTACCGGTTTTTGATGGAAGTAAGAGCAGAGACATGTCAGCAGAATTTTCAGGATCAGCCGACCTTAGTTTGGAGGGTAGCCAACTAAGCGGGCCAGAATTTCCACTTTTCAATTTCAGTTGCATTTCAATAGCCACAAACAATTTCTCAGAAGAAAATAAGCTTGGGAAAGGGGGCTTTGGCCCTGTCTACAAGGTAAAGATGATTCTACTAAGCCCATCTTTTAGTAATAAAAATAAGCTTTTCTAAAATGTATGAAAAAAATTATTTGTTCCATTCATCAGGGAAAGCTTCCAGGAGGAGAACAAATAGCTGTTAAGAGGCTTTCAAGACCGTCTGGCCAAGGTTTAGAGGAGTTCAGAAATGAAATGATGCTGATAGCGAAACTACAACACAGAAATCTGGTTAGACTGATGGGATGTTCTATTCAAGGCGAAGAGAAGTTGCTGGTATATGAATACATGCCAAACAAAAGCTTGGATTGCTTTTTATTTGGTATGTTTCTTTTCATTAACCCTGTCCATTTCTTTATGCATTTTAAATCAACATGAAAAGAGATTATTTGATGTCTTTTCTGGTGAACCTTATGACAGATCCAATCAAACAAACACAACTAGATTGGACAAGACGGTTTGAAATCATTGAAGGCATTGCAAGAGGATTGCTCTACTTACACCGAGATTCAAGACTTAGAATAATTCATCGAGACTTAAAAGCGAGTAACGTTTTGTTGGATGAAAACATGAACCCAAAAATATCAGACTTTGGTTTGGCTAGGATATTTGGTGGGAACCAGAATGAAGCGAATACAAACAGAGTAGTTGGTACATAGTAAGTATCCTTTGATTTTACTTGTATTTAAGTCATTCACTTGTACATTCTCACTTGGACCAGGCTAATCTTAATATATAACTCCGCTGCAGTGGTTACATGGCCCCTGAATATGCAATGGAAGGTCTGTTTTCCGTCAAATCTGATGTATATAGTTTTGGTGTATTACTACTAGAAATTTTGAGTGGCCGCAGAAACACTAGTTTTCGTCACTCAGATGACTCGAGTCTCATAGGATATGTGAGTGTCTGACTGCTGTATTGCAATTTTTTGGTTATCAATGCGAATTCTTTGTTTTGCTGAAATTTCTAACATGTTTAGAAAAGCTAGTTTGAAAAATGTGAGAGTTGCAATATTTTTAATACAAAGTTTATTGAAATGCTGATGTTTTTAGGCGTGGCATCTTTGGAATGAACAGAGAGCAATGGAGCTAGTGGATCCCTGCATTCGTAATTCTAGTCCTAAAAACAAAGCTTTGAGATGCATACACATAGGGATGTTATGTGTGCAAGATTCAGCAGCTCAAAGACCTAACATGTCTGCCGTGGTGTTGATGCTGGAAAGTGAAGCAACAACTCTTCCTATGCCTACGCAACCTTTGATTACATCCATGAGAAGATCTGAGGACAGACAATTTTACATGGATGGCCTTGATGTTTCAAATGATTTGACAGTCACAATGGTGGTAGGGAGATAGAAATCGAATCATTCCCTTTCTGTGTCAGTTTTGTTTTCAATTCTGTAACCCTTCAAACGTACGGTTGGCTTCATCGTTTTGGCCCTACTGAAGTTAAACTATACTATCCCTTATGATGTTTATAGAAGTACATACAATTTTTTTTATCAAAGAGATTCTCTTTTGGACAAGATTCATATCCAGATTCTTGTTAAATATTAGGCCAAATTTGATCGTCAAATCAATCATTGTTTGCAGGTTAGCCAAGTAATCTGCATAGAAAAACTCAGTTTCACATTATAAAAAGTGATCAATTTGAAAGGCATGGATTTATGATATTTTATTATTAACTTGGTGTCACTTTCTTAGAAGAAACTCCATTTGACACATCATCCCATGTATTTGAGTTAGGTAGAACTTTCTTGCAAATTACATGCTATCAAATTACACATCATCCCAAGTTTCAACCACTTTTCCTCACGAGGATCTAGAACCAAAATTTGTCCACGTTAACAAATAGTATCTAATGGATTTCAATTACTCTAAATATAAGAATTGGTCAATAGTTAAACATAACTTACTCCACAAAGTTATCGTTTTTAAATTGCCAGCCCCAACTATAAGTTTAAGAACACTTTAACATAAATACCTTTTCCTTTACAGAAATTTATTTATATAAATAATTTATCATTTTAAGTAATTTATATAATCTTATATTAAATATAATTTTCATTTATAAGAAATTTTTTAAATAATTTATTTTAAAAATATATTAATATATAAAAAAATTACCAAAAAACATTTTTTTAAGATTAAATCAAATAATATTTTTATTTTCTCTAATTTAAAAATAAATATTTATTTTTCTTATAATAAAATTACACTTACTATATATAATTTATAAATAAACATACGTTTTCATCATAATTGTCATAAAAAATAATTATCTTATATTTTTAATTTGATATTCAAATTTTAATAATATATTAACAATATTTAAAAAAATTAAATATGTGATAATATAATAATATTTAACGTAAATATTGAGATAATATATTTTAAAATGTTATGCTCTCAGGTTAATTACCTTAAATTAACCATTGTATATTGAATTAAATTATACTTACCATGTTCTTTGCAGTGATTTTGATTGGTTGCTTATATCTTTTTTATATTATCAAATATTTCAATACTTCACATGAGGAACATATTTATATGAGTTAATTTTCTTTTTCTCATAATAGCACACCATCTTGCACTAAATGGTTATTTATAAAGTCTTACATAAGTTTCAAAATGAGTAAGAAAAGGAAAACAAAATAAAGAGCTTAATCGTATAGGGTAGAACATTTGTTTACTTTAACAAGTAATTAGCTATATCATGCTTTCATTAATATATACAGTGATAATTTGACAAATTTTTGTTAAATATGATTTTGTATTTAGATGTTTGTAAACTAGGAGAAAATTGACTCAACTCTATTACTATAAAAATTTGTATTATTATTACTAATCACAAATTATTATGTATAATAAATTTATTATTTTTATAAAATCACTTTAAAAATAATGCCATTACTAAATTTTAATGGATAAAAGATATAAAAAAAGTGATACTAAAATTCATGATTATTAAACTTACATATTAAAGTGAGAAACTAAATAAAAAAATATTAGATGGGATAGGATTTATTATTATTTCTTAAAAAAATCATAAATAATTGTCTCTCTCCTTTTCTCTCTATATATTAAATTAGTTAATTTTAATAATTATCCTAAAATTCTCCGAATAAATTTTATTTATTGAAACTGAAATAAAACTACTTTTGTGCATCATTGTTAAATCCTTATAATTAGTAAACTTAAATATATCTTTAGTTAATCTTGGTTTTTAATAAATTTTGTTTAAGTTTAGCCATAAGGTCTATTCTCTGGTTTTGATTCTTATTATTTTGTTTTAGTTTACGTCAAATGTATATTTTACTTTAATCATTATAATGTGTATAAGTCATTATCTTTTAATTCTTATAATATATTTTTAATAGACTAATTCATAAAAATATTGCAGAAACTAAAACAGAATCATAAGAATTATAACCCATTTATGTTATTACAAAAAAATTAAAAATAAAATAACATATCACTATATTTCAATAGAAAAAATATTCCTTTGTTTTTGTTTGAGTCCGCTGTCAGTTTTTTGTTGTAAAGGGTGGCATATTTGGTAATTCGGTTGGGACCAAGATCCGTTCACCTAATTGGGCCGCCACTAGTTTCACATTTTAAACAACAAAAAGTCATCACCAAATCCAAAACTGAACCATAATTACCTTTTTGTCTTAATTATTATGCGCTCATCCACTCATATGATTAACATATGCCAAATATTAACAAGTATTGTAAACATACCAGTGTTTCAATACCACTTTCCAAGGTCTTTAATCTTTTCGTTTTCTGATCGAGAGAGCTGAGGACACAACGTTTCATAATTTATCAAAAAGGAAAACAATATGCATCATAAAAATCAGCACTTGAGGCAAAAAAAATTAAATGTTTAATATATGACTGTTTTGATAAATCAGACTAATAAAATGAATATATTTAGTCACTCGAGTTTGTCATGTTTCAGGAACAAGTGAAAAAGGAAAAACTTGTGCAAGAAGAGCGACTTGTGTGTCTTTGGGATGGCTAACCATATTCACACTGTTAGACAGATAAAAAACAAGAGAGTCACATAAAAGAGTCATTGTGGTGAGATAACAGCGACTGCTTCTCTTCACAAATTTGGGAGAGCAAAGCCTTATTCAAAAGAGAAACAACATAGACCAAGAGGAATGAATAGCAACGACCGTGTCAATTTGCTTTTCTTAATTTTCTCACAACTCTCCACAATACCAAAACTATGAAACTACTATTTCTCTTCCTTATCAAACACTTCATCAACTCTCCCTCTTTTGAGTTCCCTCTGCAAACATAATATGCCAGGTTTCTTATTCTTCCTCTTTTGTTTCTTGGCATCACTAGTCACAATATCATTCTCCTCAGACATCTTAACCTCAACACAAACTCTTCTAACCAACCAAACCCTCGTATCACCAAGCCAGGTCTTCGCTCTGGGCTTCTTTTCCAAGACCAATTCGTCTTGGTACTTAGGCATATGGTACCACAACATCAGCGACGGAACTGTAGTATGGGTGGCCAACAGAGACAACCCTCTCCACAACTCCACAGGATTTCTAACCATCGGAGAAAACAAAAACATGGTTCTAACAACTCCATCAGGGGACCCCGTTTGGTCCTCCAATATCACCAAAGCCAACAACCCCGTTCTTCAGCTTTTGGACACAGGAAACCTAGTTCTCAGAGAAGCAGACGTAACTGATCCCACAAACTATCTCTGGCAAAGCTTCGATTATCCAACGGACACACTCTTACCTGGGATGAAAATGGGGTGGAACCTAGATACTGGAGTGGAAAAACACTTAACCTCGTGGATAAACACAGGGCAAGACCCTTCAAGTGGAGATTACTCTTTCAAGATAGATCCTCGTGGGATACCAGAAATTTTCTTGAGGTACCAAGATAAAAAGGAAATGTATAGAAGTGGGCCTTGGAACGGTGAGAGATTCAGTGGAGTACCAGAGATGCAACCTGACACTGATTCTATCATGTTTAATTTTTCATATGATAACCATGGTGTGCACTATTCCTTCTCCATTGGCAACCGTTCTATTTTATCGAGGCTAGTTGTCACTTCGAGTGGTCAACTTCAGCGTCGTACATGGGTGCCAAGCAGCAACACATGGACCACGTTTTGGTATGCACCTAAGGATCAGTGTGATGGTTACAGAGCGTGTGGTTCTTATGGTTTATGTGACTCTAACGCCTCGCCGGTTTGCACCTGTATGAGAGGGTTCAGGCCAAGAAACCAGCAAGCGTGGAATTTGAGAGATGGGTCTGATGGGTGTGTGAGAAACACGGACTTGGATTGTGGGACTGACAAGTTTTTGCATGTGGAGGACGTGAAATTGCCGGAGACAAGTACTGTGTTTGCTAACAGGAGCATGAACCTACAAGAGTGTGAAGCTTTGTGTCGCATGAATTGTTCTTGCACTGCTTATTCCAACATTGAGATCACAAACGGAGGAACCGGCTGCATGACGTGGAGTGGTGAACTCATAGACATGAGACTGTATCCAAAGGGTGGACAAGATCTCTTTGTCAGATTAGCAGCTTCTGATGCAGGTACGGGGATTCTAAACTAAAGATTATTTAATATTTTCAGCACTGTTTCATGGTATTATTTTAAGCACTCTTTAGGAAAAGACGAAATTAATGGTTACTCATTTGTTTTATTAAAACAACTGTTTCTGTTCTGTCTTCCAAAGTTCCTTACTCTGTTTCGTATCTGAGCGGTTTGTTGGTTATTAGAAATTAGGCTAAGGGTGTTTTTGCATTTGGCTGAGTGAATTTGAATCTGATTAAACATTGAAACATTTTGAAAGGAAGATGATTATAAAATATGGTGATTATTATAATTTTTTACATGGAATTGACATAGATTTAGATGTGTGTTGAAATTACGAAAATGAAAGTAATTATTACATTGTTGTGTGATGGAAGTATTGGCGTGGGTTGGAGACAGAGATTGATACGGAATTTGTTTCACACTCTGATTATTGTTGTTGGAGTGTAGGACTGGTTTGTCTTGTTGAAAATTAGAAAGTAGAATTCGTATCACGTATACTACTGATAAAAAAGTATTATCACCCAAGAAAATAAACATTTATTGCTCTTTTGCAAGATTCTATTTTCAATTTCTTGGTGCCGCCCTAAGCTTGTTTCACGTGTGATGTGGCTTCTAACGAAGAAAGGAAAGGGGAATGAAGAAAAGTCTGTGTCTACAATGGGAACAATATTTCTGACTTGGGAAAATATGAACGCAATTGCATTTCTTCACTCGCCCTTTTGTTGGGTGACCTAATCGAATAAATTTAAATTCTCTATTTTTCTAGAAAGTACATTTTTTTTTGGCGCACGCCACTTGATTTGAAACCTCTTTTTCTAGAATTTCATGGGCCCACTCACTTTCTTGTATGGGCCCTACGGAAATGGTGTGTTGTGGACCGACGTTTTTGACTCGTTACGTTCCCTTTTGGGCGCATACGAGCGCTATATTCTATTCTCAATCAATGCCTATATTCACGTTTATCACATCTATTTTTCGACGAAGAAAAAAAAACATTTACGTTCTTTTTTTTTTCTTCTGAAATTCTGCATTTGTTATGTAATTGTGTACCACACTAAGTATGACATGAATGAAGAGTATGGAGTAAAATTTAATCACATAAAATTTGGTCGCGCTGTTACACTTTCGTTTAAAATTATTCATAACAAGAAGCGCAATCGACCGAAATGTTGAAATTATTTCACTGCTAGATATCTCATTCTTCCTATTTGTTCATATTTGAATGTGGGAAGCGAAATGGTTTGAATAGGATAAGGAAAAGTTTTTCCTTGATGAAAGTGGAAAAAGAGGGTCCTGGAACATGCTTAGTTCATAGGTTGGTAGGTTTTTGGTGCGTGTGAACTATGAAAGTTCAAAAAGGATAAGGATCTGGTTAATGAATATAGTGCCAACAAGGCACCTGCACTGTGGTGGGACTCAGAAAAGCTTAGTTTTATACATTTTGGTGGGAGTAGGCGGCATTCCAAAGTTGCATGTCTGCATCAAAACAAGTGAAATTCTCTCACTTTTCTTCACCTTTTTGTGAATGTGTTTATTAATATTTCATTTTGTAAGGGAAATAAAAAAAAATGTATAACAGAAAAACTAAGCTAATTTCATCTGTCTTCTTGAAATGAATTTCTATAGCTATTCTGATACGTTTCTGCATAAAGTTAATGCAGACACACTAAATGTTCTCTTGTACATAGTGAATAATGGTGGCACATTTTTTTTTTTTTTTGTATGAGCTTGTAGGTTCTTTTTAAATTGGTTAACTGAAAGTGTTATATAATTTTCTGTCTTGAATATTTTAGTTATGATGAGTCATCGTTTAATTTTTAATTTTACTAGTAGTAACACTAGAAAACTATATATCTTCTACCACTTGGAACAAATATTAAGAGGATCTACTAAAAGAAACGTATGTTTCACAGATGACACAAGATCTGCAGATGGCTCTCACAAGACAAACCATACTGGCGAGATTGTAGGAATTACAATTTCTGCAGCTGTAGTAATTTTGGGATTGGTTGTGATTTTCTTCAAGAGGATGAAAGTGTTAAGTATATCGAATGTGAAGACTGCCCCTAGAGGTAATGTCCTCCTCCACATAAAGTTAAGTATATGATACAAATGTGTTGTGCTAGATGATAACATATTTTGTCTTGGTTCTTGCCATTAAACCAGTTTCTTTCCAAAGAAGTAGAGAATTGCTTACAAGTGACGGGTTATTTTCAACTAATAGAGAGAACTCGGGAGAAAGGAACATGGATGACATTGAGTTGCCAATGTTTGATTTTAATACCTTAACAATGGCCACAGACAACTTCTCTGAAGCGAATAAACTTGGACAAGGAGGGTTTGGTATTGTTTACAGGGTAGGTTTGTTTTTTATAGCTTCCATAATAACTGATATATAGTAATAAGAAACTGAATTCTACAACAGTAGAATAAACAGGAGCACACAGACAATTATATATATCTGATGAGGTTTGGAACCACTCTATTTCTATTATTAGTTAGAAATAAAGTTAAATAAAATTTTAATAAACTACAGTAAACAGCATCGCTCTTGTACTAATAGGAGTGCTTGTGTGGCTAACAGGGAAGGTTGATGGAAGGGCATGATATTGCTGTCAAGAGGTTATCAAAAAACTCCGTGCAAGGAGTTGAAGAATTTAAGAATGAGGTCAAGTTAATTGTCAGGCTTCAACATAGAAATCTTGTTCGGCTCTTTGGATGCTGCATTGAGATGGATGAGAAGTTGCTAGTGTATGAGTACATGGAAAATAGAAGCCTTTATTCCATTTTGTTTGGTAAGTAGTTTTAGCATTCTACACCTCAGAGATTTTTTATTATTTTTTATCAATGCATGCATGTTTTTCTTAATAATGGTCTTATTTTTATATATCTAAATGCTTTTATAATGAATAATGCTCCAGACGAAGCCAAAAAACACATGTTGGACTGGAAAAGACGCTTTAACATTATATGCGGCATAGCTAGAGGGCTACTCTATCTGCACCATGATTCCAGATTCAGGATTATCCATAGGGATCTCAAGGCAAGCAATATTCTACTTGACAGTGAAATGAACCCTAAGATTTCAGACTTTGGGATGGCTAGACTTTTTGGCACGAATCAGACAGAAGGAAACACGCTGAGAGTTGTTGGAACATAGTGAGTACCACAGTTTTGCAAAACAGTACTCTCTACGAAACCAAATATTCTGACCTCATTATTTGTATATTTTTCTAATATGAAGCGGCTATATGTCTCCCGAATATGCTATGGATGGGAACTTCTCGGTGAAATCTGATGTTTTCAGCTTTGGAGTTCTAGTTCTGGAAATTATAACTGGGAAGAAAAATAGAGGATTCTATTACTCAAATGATGATATGAATCTTCTGGGGAATGTAAGTGAGAGTACTAGCAGTGATTCATTAATTAGAGTGATACCTAGTTGATAATATCATATTCTGTTAATAAACAATTGATGTCACTTTCTTGTTGTAGGCATGGAGGCAGTGGAGAGATGGCAGTGCATTGGAACTTGTTGATTCATCAATTGGCGATTCATATTCACCATCTGAAGTTCTTAGATGCATACACGTTGGTCTCTTGTGTGTCCAAGAACGTGCAGAAGATAGGCCAACAATGTCTTCAGTGATGTTGATGCTGAATAGTGAATCTGCATTAATGCCACAACCAAGAAACCCTGGGTTTTCCATAGGGAAGAATCCTGCGGAGACTGATTCTTCTTCAAGTAAGCAAGATGAATCATGGAGTGTGAACCAAGTCACAGTGACATTGCTAGATGCTAGGTAGTTAAAAGAAGCATGACATCACCTAACACATTTGTATATTCCTTAAAACATAAAAGTTATTTTGTAAATCCTTCCTCTGATTGTTGCGGCATCTTTGAGATCTACTTTGATCTTGTTTTGGTGTAACATGCAAGAGATACCTACAGTGAAAACCATACTCCTTAGGTTATGAGCTTGGAGCTACTTTTTGCCGTTGAAAACTAGTTTCAATGTTCACACATGCAGTTGTCTAGACTTAGACGCTGTGTGCCTGAGTCTAATTGGATTTAATATTGAGTTCAATTTTGATATGGCATATACCTTTTTATAAGCTCACCAAATATTCAATGTTTGACCATATTAGAAACTAGTATATACTAAACTGATTCAATGATGCTATAGCACATCACTGGAAAGTGTCAAACCATTTTGTCATGAGGAGAATCATCATAAATATTTCTTAAAGAAATAAAATTTCTTACCTTGTTTTTCTTGAAGGTTAGTGAGCCATGTGAACATAAAATCATTTGCTTAATGTAAGGGGATCCCTGGTCATCAAAGTGTCCTTTTATTTGGTAGCGAGGAGAAAAATAAAAAGACTGAAAATAAAAATAAGGTTTAAATAATTTTTTATATGTAATAAATTTAACAATTTTATGTTTTTTTTTATTATACTGGTCGTCAGTAAAAGGAAATTTTATATTTGATAATAATACTATTTTAATATTCACGTCTTTTCATGTCATTATTTACATATGATAAATTATACACAGAATAAAAATCTAGCATAAAAATACATTATCCAAGAATAACCAAATTCGTCATATAGCATACACCGCTTCAACAAATTATTTTGTTGTTCCCCAAAAATAAATATATAAAATAATTAAGTAGAAAATATTTTTTAAATATTAATAAAATTTATTATTTTTATCTTTTTCATCCCACCTCTTTATTTGTAATAAGTATTATTTTTATTCTTTTATACAATTTTTAATTTTCTTTTTTTCTCTTCTTTTTTTTTGACTTTTTTTTCTTTTCTACCTTTCCACTATCCTATATTAATATTTTATTTGAGACACTCTATTTTTTATTTTTTACTTTCCAATTTTTACTTTTTTTTCTTTCTTAATTTTTCCTGGTAATATAAAAGTTGTAAGTTTTTTTTTTAATTTTTTAAAATTTTCTCTTTTATAATTTCATCTTTATAATATAAAAATTGTAAATTTTTATGTTTTAATTTTTTCTCTTCTATTCACATTAGAGACAATTTCATGTTAGGAGATATCATGCAAGATTTGTCTCAAAAATGTTGAGATTGAGTCAAAGTTAATTAGTTAGTTAATTCTGTTGTTAGTTTATTTTTGTTATTCATTTTAGTTTTCATGTAACCACTGACACTTTGTAAATAAGTGAAATACAGTAAGTAAATAAAACAGAAGTTATGCAGTTACAATTCATTGCACTTTATCTGTGCATGTGTCCTCTGGTTTAACATGGTATCTAGAGCAAGGTTTTATTGAGAACCTGAAAAGAAAGAAGAACATCGCATTACTGGTTGTGTTGATACGAGAACATGGCTGGAATGAGGAGAATTATACAGGGAGGCTTGCCCATATTTGATGGCAAAATATTTGATGAATGGAAGATCAAGATGCTTGCGGTATTTGGCTTCCAAGATGTGGCCGAAATTGTCCAAGAAGGTGTAGGAGAGCTTGGCAACAAAGCATCTGAAGAAGAGAAGATGCACTTTAAACAACAACAGAAATTGGATAGTAAAGCTCGATTCTTACTGTACCAATGTGTGAACTCCAAAATCTTTAATAAAATCTGCAAAGCTGCGACAACTAAAGAGATATGGGAAATCCTGTTAAAAACGTATGGTGATGGAGATAAACATAAAAAGGTGAAGTGGCAAGCACTGAAAAGGAGATTTGAATTACTCATAATGGAAGAAAACGAATCCGTGGCAGATTATTTTGATAAAATTCAAGAATTGGTAAATGCTATGAGGGCATGTGGTGATCGAGTTACAGACCAACAAATTGTACACAAGGTTTTGCGGTCCCTCCCCTCAAAATTTGATCATTTGGTGATAACAATAGAGGAAACCAAATATCTTGAAATTCTTGAAATTGAAGAACTTCAACATTCTTTAGAATCTCATGAATTCAGAATAAGCGAAAGGAAATTGGTCCTGGATCAAGCCTTGCAGGCCATAACGGGTTTTAATGGGAAGTTCAAGAAGGAAAAAAAAAGATAGGAAGAATTGGAAGGGGAGCAAACAAGAAATCGGATCTGAACAGTCTCGGGAAGGAAAAGAATGAAAAAGCAAGAGAACCGAATGAGGACAAAACCTATAAATTTGACAAAAGGAAGGTTTGTTGCCACAATTGTAAAAAATTGGGACACTTTGCCTGTGAATATTGGTACAATGAAGGAGCAAAAAATAAGCCAAAGACTCAAGCCAATCTTACATAAGATGAAGCGTCAGACTCAGAAGTAGTGATGTTGATGGCTCAAACGAGTTCTGACGTGAAAGAAGAAGCCTCTTGGTACTTAGATTTTGGATGTTCCACACATATGACCGGCAGGAAAAATTGGTTTGTGAAAATGGAGGAAGCATCTCATGGGAAAATTCGCTTTGCATATAACAACAGTTTGACTGCATAAGGAACTGGGAGAGTTGTATTAAAAGATGATGATGGACGAAAATTAATTGTAGAAGAGGTGTTGTATGTTCCAGGCCTCAAAACAAACTTGCTGAGTCTAGGTCAACTGCTGCAGAAAGGATTTGTCATGACCATGAAAGATAATTGTCAGAGGGTGTTTGATCAATCAAACAAACTCATTATACAGTCTAACTTGTCACAAAATAGAACATTTTGAGTGGGCATGAATGCATTGAAACACTATTGCTTCAAAGCAGTAGAAAACAAAGCAGAATGGGTTTGGCACCACAGGTATGGTCATCTGAATTTCAAGGACTTATGCCAACTAGAAAAACAGAAAATGGTGGAGGGGTTACCACATATAGAAGCTCCAGAGGAGGTATGCAAAGAGTGTATTCAGTGCAAACAAACAAGAAACAGCTTCAGCAAATTCATTCCTCAGAAAGCCACAGAGAAACTGGGATTGTTGCATACTGACATTTGTGGCCCTATTCAGTTTGAAACCCCTGGAGGCAGTAGGTATTTCATAACCTTCACGGATGATTTAAGCAGGAAGATTTGGACTTTTCTATTGAAAAGGAAGAATGAAACACTGGAAGTGTTTAAGAAGTTTAAATGCTTGGTTGAAAGGGAAAGCAGACTGCTGATAAAAGTGTTAAGAAGTGATGGTGGAGGAGAGTTCAACTCACAAGAGTTTTGAGAATTCTGTGAGGCTAGTGGTATTGTGCAGGAAATTACACCACCTTACACCCCTCAACATAATGACACTGCTGAGAGAAGGAATAGAACACTCCTTAATATGGTAAGATGCATGTTGAAGAGCAAAACATTGCCAAAGTATTTGTAGGGTGAAGTTGTTATGACAACCACCTATGTTCTAAACAGAGCCCCACAATGAGACTTGCTGGAACAACTCCAGAAGAAGCATGGAGTGGGATGAAACCAAATGTAGCTCACTTGAAGATTTTTGGTTTTCTATGCTTCAAACATTGTCCTGACCAACTGAGAAGAAAATTAGATGATAAAGGTGTACCGCTGGTGTTGGTAGGATATAATTCTATAGGGGGTATAAATTGTTTGATCTATAAACGAATAAAGTGTCATTCAGCAGAGATGTAATTGTGGATGAAACATCAAGCTGGAATTGGAGTACAAATTTACCAGAGGCATCACAATCTACAATTACAATCCCTGAAGAACCAGAAGCAAAGGAGTTAAGTAGAGGCAACCAAGAGGGACTGATGCGTCGCTCCTCCAGAATCACACAGAGGCCAACTCATCTGACAGATTATGAGTTGTTTTCTGATTCTGCTGTAACATTAGAGGGAAATTTGATTCACTTTGCACGTATAGCTGAAGTTGAACCACTTACGTTTGAAGATGCCTCATCTAATGAAAATTGGTGGAAAGCAATGAAGGAGGAGATTGCCTCTATAAAGAAAAATGGTACATGGGAGTTAGTCAAAGCTTCTCATGATAAAAAAACCTATAACATTGAAGTGGATTTATAAGGTCAAAATAAGTCCAAAAGGGGAAGTAGTCAGACACAAGACACAACTAGTTGCAAAGGGTTTCTTACAAAAAGCTGGAGTTGATTATGGTGAAGTGTATGCTCCAGTAGCCAGGATCGAAACAGTACGTATGGTGGTGGCTATTGCTGTACATGAAGGATGGAGTATGCACCAACTAGATGTTAAGTCTGTGTTTCTGAATGGATCTATTGAGGAAAAAGTTTTTGTGCAACAGCCACAAGGCTTCGAGGTTAAAGGTAAGGAGCATATGGTGTACAAACTCAAGAAGACCCTATATGGGTTAAAGCAAGCTCCCAGGGCTTGGAATCAACGTATTGATGGCTTTCTGAAGCAGATTGGGTTTCACAGATGTGTTACAGAACATGGTCTATACGTTAAAAGCTGGAGTGCAGATGATAAAGCTGATAAATTGATAGTTTGCCTATATATTGATGATCTATTGATAACTAGGAGTACTGAAGAGCAGGTGGTGCAGTTCAAAACTCAAATGTTCAGTGAATTTGGGATGAGTGATTTGGGAGAACTCAACTACTTTCTTGGTATTGAGTTCTCAAATACAAAACATGGAGTGGTTATGTATCAATCAAAATATGCACAGGATGTGTTAAAACGATTTAGAATGATAGAAAGTAACTTTGTTGTTACACATGCAGAGGCAGGACAGAAGCTACAAGCTGAAACAGATGAATAACCAGTTGACGCAACCTAATATCATAAAATTGTTGGTAGTTTGAGTATCTCTGCAATTCCAGACCTGATTTAAGCTATAGTGTGGATTTAATTAGTAGATACATGCAAAATTTAAGAGAATCTCATATGTAAGTAGCTAAGAGAATCTTGAGATATCTGAAAGGAAGAATGAGTTACGGGATTCATTGATATAATGCTCGTTATGTTCATTGATTTGGTTGATCGATTTTTTTAATTACCTTACAAGACTTGAATTTAATTTTTTTTATTTAAAGATGTTGCAAAATTCAACATGTTTGATAATTATTTCGAATATACTTAATTTTTGGTTTAATTATATTTCTAGTCATTAAATTTTAAAGTAAAATGATTTTTAGTCTCAAATTAAAAAAACTTATTATTTCAAAGTATTTCAAATTTAGTAAAATATAATTTTAAGATTAAAAGTATTTTAAAAAAGTTTTTCAAGTTAAGCATTTAAAAGTTAAAAACATTCTTTTATTTTGAAAAAACTAAAATATTTTCGTTTTTAAATTTGGGACGCCAAAGTCAAAATTTCTTAATTTGGACTTAAAACCATAATTTTTTAAAATATTGTTAATATAAATGAAATATATACAATAGGCTAGGAAAGGGTATTTGAGAGACTATTTTTACCACAGGTTAATTACAAGTGACTTATTAGTATCATTATAATATAATAAATTATTTATTTATTTATGAATATTTGTATACCATGTTTATAATTACGATATAACAGTAATAAATATACTGAATGTAATATGTAATTTTACTTTTACATTTGAAAATTGTAAATTATAATTAAAAATTATATATATTAATTTCTAAATCATTATTATTTTTAATTAAGTTTTAATTTAAATTATTATGATTTATAATATTTTATTATTTATTAAGTTATAAATTATAATTCTTTACCTCAGTTTGTTTAGTTGTTATTAACTGTACATATCTTACAAAAAAAGACAAAATCATTTGACTTTCTGATTTTCAATGGAAAGAAACATAATCATTTGACTAAGGCCTGCTCCAAAGGAGATAGTCTTCCGTTTTTCTTTACTACTATTGTAACGGTCAGTTTGTTTATCTTCTGCAACTTATCTTGGGCACCTGAAAAATAATCCTTTTCCTCCCATAATCATGAATATAAACTAGTCAGTTTCATAGGACATTGACAAACATCCTTTAATAAGAATATGTGATGAAAAATTACAGTGTGAGGATATTTTCCAGCAACTAAGAAAAGAATGTTAATCTTTATACCATGCATCTACAAATGCTGTTCCTTTCTCATCGAAATCTGATTCTCTCTCACAAATTATTACCAAACGCAGCGGAACCTATAAGATACCGACTAATTTCTTCCTTCTAATAGAGTAATAGTCATAGAGTTGTTACTAAAACTCTCCATTTTGCTGTAGCCCTGAAAGTCTAACCCTTCATTGCTCAACATGAACACTACAGAAGGCATAGTTGGTCCATCTTCAGGTAACTTCTGAACACACAAGAGGCCAACTTGCAGGCACCTTAGTAATTCTGATGGAATACTTATAAGGTCGAAATTAACATCCATGAATTCCATACCTCGTCCTTCTTTCCATAATCTCCATGCATATGTGATATACTATTTAGTCTGATAGTAATTTGGTTCTACGGCCCAAGTTAAACTTTGAAACACCAAAAAGAAGTAATGAGAAACATCGCTGAGCTCATTTGATCAGACAATCATCTGAGCTGTAGACCGAATTTGTGACCGTAAACCTTGAAACCAAGTTCTTGTTTCTTACAAAACTATAGCTATTAATGTACTTTATGTTATATCTTTTAAAATATACAATTCATAGTCCACCAAAGAAATAAGAATGCTCTTGCCTCTTGGATGAAAGAAACACAGTTGAGAACTGTTGGGGAATCCAAATGTAAATTTAAGTCTCGTATTAAACAAAAATAAGAAGTTGGATAATATATAAGAAAAAAAATGATCCATAACTTAAGTTCTGAGTTGAAGATAATGTGTGTTAGTATTATGTCTCATTCATATTATTCCTCTAGTTGAATCACCTCTAAAGATCCATCAAAACAATTCAAAATATAAATAAAAAGGTAACTTGCTTATGAATCTCACCCAAATTTGTAGCGGTCCTACCTTTTATATACTTCATAGAAAGGTAGAAGATAATACACAAAAGCAGCGGTGCCACAGGTACCAAAATAATCAGTGATATCTTTCTCCTTGTACTATCAATAGCAGTAGACTCTTCACAAGATTCAGCCATGTGCTGAAGTTTTAGAACACATGTTTTCAAGAGAATGCAGATGGAAACATAGAAGAAACCTAGTCAAGAATATCTTTCTAGAAAAAGGCATGTCAAAACACATAGTTCATGAAACTAGTGAAAAAATGGACAGGACGAGACCTGAAAGGGAGCATAGACTTCTGAATTATATCTTCCTCTTCTACACTAAATTAGATTTTGTTATGAAGGTGAACATTACATATCAATTAAAACAGAATCCACGCATACCTATTTCAGAAGTGGCTAACCTTACATAAAGATCAAGTTTGTACGACCTATTCATTAATAAGCTGCCTTATGTCTATCAAGTCGCCAAACCAAAGCAAGCAACCATGGGGCCCTTCACCCATAGCAGAGCTTGCATGCTGTGCAGAAACAGAGTTATTCAAGCACTCCACCATGTGTTCTTCAAGACTGATGCTATTATTAGTCCAAAATTGCAACAACACGGGTAATTTTACCCAGCTTAATTTTTGAAACCTATCACCTTGTGTGCAGTTTAAGGGTGTTCTCCTAATGCAACCACCAGACCAATTAAATGAATCCCATTCTTTCTGTGAATTTGGTATGAAGCCTTATAAACAAGCACAGTATGCAGGCATATCCTTTATATGGCAAATACCATTCACCCCACGTGTTCCGTAGTTATCACAAAAGTCTTTTCTTGCCTCATGCATCAGAGTCCATTTAAATTTTTTGTTGTCCCAAATATATCTTTGAAGTAGTACATCATCCCTCCTAACAAACCTTGATAATCTATCTCCAGGTTCATCCCAATACACTGCCTCCTTTGTAGTTACTGAAACTTTTGGCGTGAAGGCTGTAATTTCAGTAAATGATAACCAATCATCTGAACTAAAACGGGGGCCATCCCAAATTCCACTTCTAAATGTGATGTTCTTTCCCTTGCGGATCACCAACTCAGGAAATTCTTTCTGGTCAAATCTGAAGGTAAAGTTTCCACAAGGTGGGTAATTAGTGTTGGAATTCAGGTGCTTGCTAGAGTTCATATTGATTAGAAATGGAAAAATTAATTAAATTTTAAGCGGAAAAGACATGCAATCCTTTAGTTTCAAGATCTTGAGTTGAAGATGGGTCATGTTGTCTTGTATAAGATTACCTTGGTATCTTATATGTGAACTCCGACCTAGTGATAACCCCTCACAAAGACTTATCAGTGGTATTAATGGTTTTGTTGGAATTCAAATATGAGACTATCAGTGCTATTAATGATTTTGTTGGAATTCAAATGGGAACTAGAGTCTCACATTGAGAAATGGGAAAAGTATTAATATTTTTGTTTGTTCTGGTACTCCTCCTCTTCATCAAATTTGACCTCCAATTTCAATCACATACTAAAATTTGTATTTTTATTTTACATCCTATGATAGAGAAAATGTTTTGAATTTTATTTTCAGTTGCAAAAGATTTCTGGTCATATAAGCAATTTCAGTTCACATCTCTTATTATAAAATTTCCTATGCCAGACCAGGGACGAGGAAGAATGGAACTTTCATGTTTGTGACGGCTGAAAACCTCTGGTGTTTTAATAATGAAAGAGTTCTTGTCAGAAATTTGTTGAGTAATAAAATAAAGTTTGCAATTTGAAACTATGAAATCTAAAAATATAATATTGTATCGCTCCCTTAAAATCAAACCGATTACTTTCCATCGTAATTTACTAAAATAGTTGACAGTGATTCAAATTAATTTTATGACATCATCGTGTAATTGATTATTAGTTCGGATTCTGAAGTACTATCAAAGGCCAAAATTTGTGATATATAAGATAACTGATTGAGAAAAAATTTCACTAAAAATAATTTTATACCAATTAGTCATGCTATTGTTAAATGTAATTACTTCCTCGTTAGTGTTGTGTATTTCATATTTGTCCCTTTATTAAATTGAATTTACATGTCATTCTTAATATCAAACCAGCCATATGCTTTGTTTATCGACTTTTGATTCAAACGTTTATGAAGGTGACTTTTGATTACTGTGAGCAACTTACGCACCAGAAGAAGAATTAGTCTCATTGGGACCCCTTGAAAGGACGAAACCAGACAAACCACCATAGAGGTGAGGTCGTAGGCATCAAAAGTTCTGCTGTTGTTTTATAATTTTGTGATTGGTGGATTTAATTTTGGAATGGCTTAAGCTTTTACATACATTCACTCAATATTTGCTGATACCTATTTAATATTTGACTATGTTGACAACAAGTATTAATAAAAACTCATTCAACTGATGGAGCAACACATTACTGGAAAGTGTAAAACCATTTTTAGTAAATGAGACTACTACTGAAAAACATTCAGAATTCTTATTCTTTTTACATATGTGGGTGAAAAACATCGTGAATGGCTTTCCTTTCATTAATGAATAGTGGTAACTTTCTTGGGGCTTCATCACATCATCATGAAGAGAAATTGATCTGTTTCACTTGAGATTGGACACAAGTCCTTTAATAAGAGTATAAAAAAACACAAGAAAATAAAGTTGTTCTGTGGGGGGCTTTATGTCATGCACCTATGGACTACTGTGGTTTTTCTTTGAATCTATACTGTTTCTATTTCACTAATATTACCAATCTTCCTAAATCCTTTTCTGACCAAGAATGCTGCCAGAAAAGTTGCAAAAGAAATAAGTTAGCAACTAACTTCGAGCTTCTAACAGAGTTATAGTCATAGCACTGTTACTAAAACTTTCCATCTCGCTGTACCCATGCTCTGTCTCTTCTTCAAAGAAGCCAGGCTTCTTTGGTTGGGAAAGTGCTATGCTTTCATTGCTCAACATGAAAACCACAGAAGACATAGTTGGTCTATCTTCAGGTAACTTTTGAACACACAAGAGACCAACTTGCAGGCACCTTAGTAATTCTGATGGAACAGCTGTAAGGTCTAAATTAACATCCATAAATGCCACAGCTCGTCCATCTTTCCATAATGTCCACGCCTAGATATTTTAAGAGAAGGTTAATACTGGTAAAGATAAAGCTATAGTAAAGTCAACATTGCATTGCATGTGGTTGGTTTTGTTTACCTGCCCCAACAGATTATGGTCATGATCTGGACGTTTGATCTTGTAGTTACTACTTTTGATCCCACTTAATATCTCTAACACTATAACTCCGAAGCTATATACATCAGACTTCAGGGAAAGAATCCCGCTTACTGCATACTCAGGGGGCATATAGCCACTGCATGCATTATCAACAAACAATGAACATAATGAATTATATTATTTTTAAATACACTATACTAAAAAAAAATTATATTATGCTGAGTAAATCTCAGTAATTCATCATAGGGCTTACATTGTCCCAGCAATTTCATCTGTTGTTATTGAAGCATGATCTCCTTCAACGATGCGGGCCACACCAAAATCAGAAATTTTGGGGTTCAACTGGCTGTCTAGTAGAATGTTACTAGTTTTAAGATCCCTATGAATGATGGTCAGTTTTGAATCCTGGTGGAGATAAAGTAGTCCTCGAGCAATCCCAATAATAATTTCATATCGTTTTCTCCATGTCAAAAATTTTCCTTGAGTGGGATCTAAGAAAGATAAGACAGAGCTGACTTAGTCATTACAGAACTGGTTATTTTAAGCAAAAGAGTATAGTTTTGCAGTTGTGGTATTACCAAATATGAAGTGGTCCAAGCTACTATTTGGCATGTATTCATAGATCAGCATTCTTTCCTCTCCTTGAGTGCACCCTCCTAAAACACTCACAAGATTACGGTGTTGGAGTTTGGCTACCAATCCAACTTCATTCATAAACTCTGAGATGCCTTGTTTTGAGGTTTTTGATAGCCTTTTCACAGCTATTTCTTGTCCATGAGCCAATTTACCCTGATTTAAGGTAACAGTTAAATTGAAGAGGAAAAAGTAAAAACAAGATGCCTGATGGAAAAAGAAAATTACCCTGTATACTGGGCCAAAACCACCTTCCCCAATCTTGTTCTCAATAGAAAAATTGTTTGTAGCTGCCAAAATAGTATATATATCAAAAATAGGCGACGCTTGATCTTCATTATGATTTCTGTGACCTGTGATCACAAGAAACAATTTTCAAATGGCTTGAGCCTATCACAGCCAAACCTTTTTCTTGGGTAACTTACAATACATATACTTACTCAACCACCATGAATATGTGATATACTATTTAGTAAGAAAATAATTTTGTTCCACCGCTCTAGTTAAACTTTGAAACACCAAAAAATAATGAGAAAGATCACTGAGTTTACTTGATCTGTTGATCATCTGAGCCCTAAACTGAATTTATGAACTGATCCTCGAAATGATAATGCTGTTTCTCACAGTAAACTACGGCTATTATTGCAGTTTGTTTTCTTTCTTCTTCTCAAATATAAATGGCCTAGTCTAACAAAAAGATATGAAATGGTTCGTGGATGGAAGAATCAAATTTTAGAACATTTTCATAATGTAAATAAACAAGTTGAATTTCTTAAGAATCTTACCCAAACCAGTACGTGTCCTCCGTTTTATATACATCTTAGAAAGGAAGAAAATGATACAACAAAGCAGCAGCGCCACAGGTACCGAAATAATCAGTGCAATGTTTCTCCTTTTACTTCCATTAGTAGTGGACTCTTCACAAGAATCAAACAGATGCTTAAGTTTTAGAAAACGTATTTCTTCAAGAGAATGCATATGTAAACAAAAAAGAAAACTTAATCCAGAATACATTCTAAAAATGGTAATGAGTAAATAATTTGTCTCTTAACCACATGTTATTGCTGTTTCCCTACAATGAGGCATGTCAAAACAAATAGTTCAGATGAATTCTGGATGAAAAAATTATCAAGAAGGACCAATGCACAGACTTCTGAATTCTATCTTCCTCTTTCATACCAAGTTAGAGACATGTTATGAGGGTAAACATTACATGTCATGTTAAAACAAAACCCATGCATACCTATTTCAGAAGCGGCTAACCTTACATAAAGATCAAGTTGTACACCCTCTTCATTTATAAGCTGCCGAATGTCAGTCAAGTCCCCAAACCAAATCAAGCATCCATGAGGCCCTTCATTCACGGCTGAATTTGCATATGCGGTGCAGGAACAGTTCTTCAAGCACTCCACCTTGCATTCTTCAAGACTCATGCTATTATTAGTCCAAAATTGCAACAACATGGGTAGTTTTATCCAACTTAATTTCTGAAACCCATCACCTTGCGTGCAGTTCAAGGGTGTTCTTCTGACGCACCCACCAGACCAATTAAATGAATCCCATTCGTCCGGTGAATTTGGTATGAACCCTTTCAAGCAATCACAGTAAGCAGGCACATTCTTAATATTGCAAATACCATTCACCCCACATGTTCCGTAGTTATCACAAAAGTCTTTTCTTGCCTCATGCATCAGAGTCCATTTAAAATTTTTGTTGTCCCAAATATATCTTTGAAGTAGTCCATCATCCTTCATCTCATATCTTGACAATCTATCTCCAGGTTCATCCCAGTACACTGCCTCGGTGCTAGTTACTGAAAGTTGTGGCTTGAAGGCTCTAATTCCAAGAAATGACAACCAATCATCTGAATTAAAACGGATACCATCCCAAATTCCGCTTCTGAACGTGATGTTCGTTCCCTGACGGATTACCAACTCGGGAAATTCTTTCTGGTCAAATCTGAAGGTAAAGTTTCCAGGAGAGGGGTCATTAGCACTCTTCCAAGAAGTCAAATATCTGTTGATACCTAAGTTCTTATCCCAACCCAACTTTAACCCAGGTAACATTGTGTCTGTTGGATTATCAAAGCTTTGCCATATATAACTATCAGGGTCACTGTTCTTTCCATCCATCAAGACAAAGTTACCAGAATCCAACAGCTTTGCAATAGGTTCTTGGATTGACCTTGATGAATTTGTAAACCATACTCTGTTACTTGCTCCATCAAAAAGTACAATATTACCATCAGCAGCAACGGTTAAATTTCCACTCGAGTCATTTAGTGGGTGATCTCTGTTTGCTACCCAAACTACGGTTCGAGGCGTAATATTCTTGTACCATATCCCTATGTAGCGGCTCTTAGAGGTTCCTGGAGTGAAGAATCCAAGAGAAAAATTCTGTCCAGCAGAAATGAGTTCTTGACCATCTGCAATGGAAGATGTTGGAGTCAAGGCATCGTCTGCATAAGACGTTTTCTGAAGGATTGACATACACGCAAAAGTAAAAATAATGGTGACAAGTTTGTTCCTTCTCACTCTCCTCTTGGTCATATTTGGCATCCAAATTTCAAATGGCATAAAGCTGCTCTTGCATTTCACATCCTAGCATCATTTAAAGTGAAGAGTTTTGACTTTTGAATAAATAAAAAAACTTCTAGTAGCCATATGAACAATTTCCACTAATGGTTTTCTCATAAAATCCACTTTGTTTAGAATGGAATGACACGGTTCAAAGCGAGTAGATTTACTACTGTTAGATGATTAATGATTTTTATATTGAGAAGCGTTGAAGGGTGATTTGTCTGTTATGAAAGAAGAAGACCTTCATGAAGTTTAAAAATGAGAACGTTCTAATCAGAAATTTTGTTGTGGAATAAATTAATGTTTTCAAAATTGAAACTTTGAACTTTGAAGTCTGAATATCTAATATGTTACTGCATGTAATATGTTACTGCATGGTCACAATCCAACTGTTTTATTTTTCCCACAACCAAACTCCTTCGGAATAAATGTTGTTTAAACACTCAGATTGGACATTTTTCAAGTTTGTTTTTCTGTTTAACTCAACTTCTGCTGCTAAATTTGATTTCATCTTTGCAGAGATCGAATTGATAATAATGATTCAAAAGTATAATTAACGTTTCATTATATATTAACTCTTTTAACGGATAACACTAATTAATTAACCATGTGTGTTATAGAAACATGAAAAATGATTAAGAGATGAGATTTAATTGAAAATGATTCGTTAAATCTTTTAGGAAATAGTAATCTTTAACAAAAACTACTAAATATTTCATATAAATGTAGATGGGTGTAGCTTTTTTTTCCATGATTCAAATAAATATGTAGATAAAGTACTCTTCGAATGCGTCTTAATACTTTTTTTAAACTTCGCTTAGGTAAGAGAGTTGGTAGAACGCATTTTTCCACTTTGCTCATTCCATTCGATAAAGTTCAACAAAATCGTTCCATTACATTATATATGATGAAGTCCCATTAATTTTTTTTTCTAGTGAAAATCAATTTACCAAAAGGCAACCTTAGTCAGAACCAATTTTCTTTTTTGTGTCAGTACCTCTCTTAGTTTAGGGTATTAGGATTTTTTATTTTCATTTTTATAGAAATTGCATGGTTTTCATTTATATGTTTTGATACTTTGGTATCTTTTTATATTTTTCACTCTTTCCTTTGTAGTATATGAGTTAAATAATCCTAGTGATTTGCTATTAGACTCGAGGATAGAAAAAGCAACAACGACAAATAGAAATAAGCGTGTTTTAATATTTAATATTTTTTAAAATTGATAATTCATAAAATTAATTATGTTGATTTAAATTGTTTGTATTATCTCACAAATTCTATAAATTATCTCATAAATCACATAATATTAAATCTATTTAATAATCTATATCGATATATCAATATGGATTATTATAATAAAGGAAAATATTAAGAGAGAAAGGACAAATTTAAAATAATTTTTAAAACTTAAAAATGTATAAAAAAATATTTCATTAATAGATTTAAACAAAAACATTTAATTTTAAAAAAATATTGGATATCTAAAAAAAGGGATCAAATAGGACATGAAAGTTATTTAAGAAAAAATAATAATAATAACAATATGTGTTAAAATAGGTGCAAATAGCAACCCAAATCCCTCCTCTTCCATTCAACCAAACCCAAAACAAATAGTGCACGGGCCCATGACGAATGATGAGCAAATCCGAAAGAAACAAAGGATCAGTCATCAAAACCACGTTGTGGACAAAAAGAAAAGGAAAACATAGAACGCACGAGTTTTGAAAGATACGGATTCTAGATGCAGAGAAAGGCATGCCGGAAAAGAAAAGAAAAGAAGAAGAAAGAAACAAGTTTTCGAGACTTGCAACATTCTATCATTTAGAAAGCAATGGATTGTTATATATTTGTTTAATGGTAGAGTTTGGTAAAAAGTCTTTGCTGCTATCAACATCTTCCACCACTCACTGACCAAGAGTCTCTGCGGTTCCTTTCACTTGACATGCCTCGTTAAAATATTGTACTATTTAGTTATGGAGCATGATTAACTAAAGATCATCAATGCGTCCAATAAGATGGCTTTGTGGTAACAAATTTCAAACTATGCCCCATCTTTCTTCCTTGTTCTTGGTGTACCTCCAATGCTGTCTCAACAGTAGAGGTTGGTGTTGTTGAGTCTGATGACCTAAAGTTGACGTTCTATCATACATGAGAAATCAACATCAAATTAACTCCAATATTTCATGGTAATTTTGTATCGACTATTTTGCATTTTTACTGCATTAAACTTATCTTTTGTGTTGTACTATGTATAATTTAAAATTATATTCAAAATTGAATTCACAAATGTACATCTTCATTGTGACTATTGTTTCTTTTTTAGGTTACTAAATTTGTAACAAGAACAAATTTTCTAAAAGCGGCATATATTTTGAATTAAAGTTATCGAAATTGAATTGCAGCTAAACATGTCCTATAGCAATGAACTCAGATATAACATGTGTGATGCACAAATCCTCGGCTCCAACTCCTATTCTGTACAGAAGCTTCTCACCAATTTGTTTGTAATGTTCAAGTACAAATTAGTTTATGAAGACTTTAAAATTTCAATAACATTGAATCGTTGACACTTTCGAAAAATATTAGATCACACTAAATGAATTTCTCACAGTTGCACATTGGGTTAGAGAAAAACAAAACATTTCATGTGATCTTTCAAGAAGAAAACAGGGGCCTCGAGGTACACCTGCTCCCAATTCTAGAATTCTTTTGCTTAATTTAACAGACCAATTAAATTTACAGAGGGGTCATCATAAGAAGATTATAGGGCACAGTAAGATTGAAGAACCATAGTTTTCTTTTATAAGTAGTAACGTGAAGTAACGTGAAAGGATCAAATTACTCATGGAGAAAACCGAGTTCACCCTTTTATTTCTTTTTACTTGTTGCTATTTGCTATCCTTGTTTCATACAGCTTTGGAAGCAGAGGATGAAATAACTCCTCCACAAACCATCAGTGGTAACCAGACACTAGTCTCACCTTCTCAAAATTTTGAACTGGGTTTCTTCAGTCCTGACAATTCCACTCACATATATCTTGGAATATGGTACAAGCGTATCCCAAAACAGACAGTTATTTGGGTTGCAAATAGAGACAAGCCACTAGTTAACTCGGGTGGCTACTTGACGTTTAGCAATGATGGCAACCTCATTCTTCTAAGCCACATAGGAAGTGTTGCATGGTCCTCAAAGTCATCTGGACCTGCAAGAAATCCAGTGGCACAGCTTCTAGATTCTGGAAATTTAGTGTTGAAGGACTATGGAAATGAGGGATATTTGTGGGAGAGTTTTGATTATCCATCTGACACATTGATACCAGGAATGAAACTTGGTTGGAACTTCAAAACTGGCTTGAACCGGCACTTGACTTCCTGGAAAACCACTTCTGATCCTTCTTCAGGGGAATACACCTACAGTGTAGATCCACGTGGCCTTCCTCAGCTTTTCCTTCACAGGGGAAACAAGAAGGTCTTCAGAAGTGGGCCATGGTATGGACAACAATTCAAAGGTGACCCGGTTCTCAGTGCAAATCCCGTTTTCAAACCCATCTTTGTTTTTGATTCTGATGAAGTGTCTTACTCCTATGAGACCAAAGACACCATAATTTCAAGATTTGTGCTGGGTCAGTCTGGTTTGGTTCAGCATTTTTCATGGAATGATCATCATTCAAGTTGGTTTTCTGAATTTGCAGTTCAAGGGGACCGTTGTGATGATTATGGCCTTTGTGGTGCCTACGGTTCTTGTTACATCAAAAGCTCCCCTGTTTGCCAGTGTTTGAGGGGTTTTGCGCCTAAGCATCCGCAAGAATGGGAAAGGTCTGAGTGGTCAGGTGGATGTGTTAGGAAAAACTCACAGGTTTGCAGCAATGGAGATGGATTTAAGCAGTTTACAGGAATGAAGCTGCCAGATGCTGCTGAGTTTCGTACAAACTACAGCATCAGCATTGATCACTGTGAGACAGAATGCTCCAAGAACTGCTCTTGTGTTGCTTATGCAAAACTAGATATAAATGCCAGCGGAAAAGGTTGTATTGCATGGTTTGGAGATTTGTTTGATATAAGAGAGGTTTCTGTGAATGGACAAGATTTCTACCTGAGGGTTGCAGCTTCAGAAGTTGGTAAGAACTTTGAAAGTAAGTTCTTCCAATTGTCATGTTTTAGTCCAATTTTAGCAGTCTCCAGAAATTTAACTTAGTATAATAGTATATTTATCATATTAAAGATTCTTCGTTTCTCAATAATGAAAGCATTTCCAATTTTCCTCAAAATATGTTTATATATTGTATGTTTTCTCTTTATGTGTGGTCAGGTTCAAATGCTGATGGAAGTAAAAGGACAAAACTCATACTGGTTCCTGTGACTGCTTCTGTAACTTCAACAATTATTGTATCAGCATTGTGGTTAATAATTAAGAAATGCAGAAGAAGTGGAGGTAAATATATCCTATAGTTCTAGTTTGAGAAGATAGATCTGCTGTATTTTTTAAACTGTAGTGTCCATTCAAAAGCATTACTGATTAATCCTTGGCTATTTGCTTCTGTAAGCAGCCAAAGAGACCGGTAGTCACTTTAGTGTTGGCAGAGTCAGGAGTGAAAGGAATGAATTTGAACTTCCATTGTTTGAGATTGCCATAATTGAAGCCGCCACTGGGAATTTCTCTATTTACAACAAGATTGGAGAAGGAGGATTTGGTCCTGTATACAAAGTAAATCACTCTCTTTGTGGTTAATTATTAAAAAAAAAAAAAAAAAACTATATTCCAAACAATATAGCATAGTAGTCTCTACCAGCTGTCCTGCAGATTGTACCGTAGGAAAATGCACATTCATTTAAACAATGATCTATTTCATTTATTTAGTCAGTAGGACTTAGACATGTAAGATCTCAAAATAGTCTTCAAAATAGTATCATATATCTCTTATTACCACATCATGTCACATCTATACTTCTTTATCGTCTACCTCTTTCTCTTTCTGAGTGTTCCACTAGCATGGG